CTCTACATGTTTCGACGCTACAATATCATCCTCAGGATTCCGTTTAACGTTGAATATTATTTATGATTTTAACTTTATACACAAGTGCCAATATACTATAATTAAAGTATGTCATGTTCTACAGCATGTCCTTCGAACTAAGACATCTGTGAGACACTGTTTCATCAAGAAATTTTTGGAAGACAGCTTTAACAAGTCAAAGTAATGACATGTAAGAATTTATTTTTTGAAAAACAACTACTCAAAAGTTTTTATACCTTAGGAGATGTTATGCTCAATAACAATGAAGGGGATTGCAAGCTCAAGTATGTAAATAACATCATTCTCTATCAAGTTTTACTTAATTTTGATCTCTACATAACAACATGAAACACATCATTATATTTGAATATATGATTTTACTTCTTTAAGTATTTTACTTCTTTCATTTCTGATTGTATTGGACTGTATCTTGTTCTACAGATCTGATAAATTTATGAGTAACAACTTAAAAGTATGTACTCCTTCTTAAAGAGGGTTAATTCTGTCGGTTTAAAATTATTATTAGTTTGACTTGGATCATTTTTTATTCTCTTTTTAAGTTAAGGAACTTTGTTACTTCTATCAAGATGGTATTTAATATTATGTTCAAAAATTAATAAACCAAACATTTACATCAATAAGTAACAATTATCTTATATATATATATATAGAGAGAGAGAGAGACAGACAGACAGATTGTACTTGCAAAGTTCAATTAACATTCTGTGAACAAGTAGTATTTAATTTTTCCACAAATTTAAAATAATTTCTTGTATAAAAAAGCTAAGGTTAAGATAGGATAAAAAAAGGAGAAGTAAAAGTTAAAGTTTCTCATATATCAATTTCAATGGTAAGAAATAAAACTTAATCTTTCAAAAATGTTGGTACTGTAAGGAATGGACTAAAAAAATATTTGATTTTGACTACAAAAAATAGTACACTTAACATATGGCTGGCACTATTCTTTCTCACACACCTGAGTTAACACAGTAGACATTCTTGTGTGTACTAGTACCTTTTTCTATTTTTGAGAACAACTTTCTCTTTTAATCCAGAAAATAATACAGTATGTGGGGGTGGGGGGTGTAGAACAGTTAAAAACATATTAGCTTCAACACATGCAACTAAGCAGTGAAATTCTTGGTTTCTCAATTTCTGCTTAAAGATTCTTTTGTGCCAAATATTATATAAGCTATGTTAAATAGTACCAACAGGAATGGAGCCTTGAAGATCCTGTAGTAATGTAGAACATAGTTACTTGCCAATACTGAAGAAGTGTCTTATAGGCTCTCCATTTTGTTTAGCAAGTTTTTGAGGATGCCTATAAATTTGTTATTACAAACTATAATTGTAACAGATGTCACTCACAAAGAAGCAGTAAAATTGTATAAATTTAGTCTGTAAATAAGACTACAACAGTGATTTCCAAACTGTATGTCACTGCAAGTTACTAGGGGTGTTGTGAGAGTTCCACGAAATAAAAAATAATTAAGAACATAAAAAACTTTCAAAAAAACATATTGCACATGGCAGGAGGGGTGTCAAGCAAATGAAGATAAGTGGGTTAGGGTGTCATCAGTGAAAAGTTTGGTAACCATTGCTCTACAACATACACACACACACACACACACACATATATATATATATATATATATATATATATATATATA